TCCCTGGATAGGACTCCTATATTGAACTTCAATCACCCATGGCTCAGGGACCATTGTGGAAAAGGGGAAAGATTGTAGAAAGATTGTAAAAGCCAGGGCTGGTTCGTAAACACAGGGAAGCAGGGGCTTTCAGGCCACTGGAAGCTTGCACATGTGAACTTGTGGCAATGTGGCATAGAGCACAGGACCATGCCACGATTAGACAAGGGCCCTAAGGGGAAGAGAGAAATGGATGGCAGGCCAGCACTACACTGAGAACTATTGGAGATGGATTGCTACTGAGTGAGGAAGACTATGCCTTACATATCATCTCTAGATAAGTTGACTAGACTCCAATGGATGAATTTACACTGAAGGACAAATACTTGACTGGATAGGACTTAACATGTATGGCAGAATTCATGTGGTCCAGTGGCAGATGGTGAAGGTAAGATGGGGGAGGGGGTCTAAATTGATTAAGAACTGTTGTATACAGGAATAGGTGTAGGAAAGGATTTTCTAAACCAGACATCTATTGCTCAGGAAACAAGGTCAAGAGTCAAGAAATGGGGCTCATTAAACTAAAAAGCTTCTGTACATCAAAAAGATGTAACCAAGGAAGTGAAGAGAAAACCCACAGAGTGGGATAAAATCTTCACCAGGGACACATCTGACAGCAGTTTAACATCCAGAAAATATAAGGAACTCAAAAAACAAAGAGTCAAGAAGGAAAGTAACCCAATTAAAAGATGAACTAAGGAGCTGAACAAAGAGTTCTCAAAAGAAGAAATGAAGATGGCTTAGAAGCATCTTAAAAAGTGTTCAACATCACTAGTAATTAGGGAAATGCATCTTACTCCAGTCAGACTGGCTAAGATGAAGAGAACAAATGATACCAAATGTTGGAGAGGATGTGGGGAAAGGGGAACACTCATCCACTGCTGCTGGGGCTGCAAACTTGTTCAACCCCTATGGAAAGCAGTGTGAACTCTTAAAGAAACTACAAATGAACCTACCATTTGACCCAGTTATACCACTCCTTGGCATATACCCAAAGAGCTCATCCTATTGCAGAGACACTTGTACATCCATGTTTGTTGCTGCTCTTTTCACAATAGCTAAGAGATGGAAGCAACCTATGTGTCTCTCAACTGCTGACTGGATAATGAAAATGTGGTTCATTTATATGATGGAGTTCTACTCAGCAGTAAAGAAAGATGAAATCATGAAATTTGCAGGTAAATGGATGGCACAGACCCAGAAAAATCAAACGATGTATGTTCTCCCTCATATGTGGATCCTAGCACTAAATCCTTATAAGTGAGTATGTATCCAGGCATAACTATAGGAACCAGGATAATGAAAAGGAACCACGGAGGGAAAGGAAAAGGAAGAACCCAAGATAGAAGAACAGTAAGAAACATGTTACTAAGGGAGAACTGGATAAAAATGGGGTGATTTAAATGGGATGGGGAGGGAGGGTTATACAAGGAACCTTGGGGATAAAGGGAAAGGAGCTCAAGAGAGGTGGGACCATAGGTGACAGGTATTATCAAAGGAGAAATGGGGAAAATGGGGGCACTTTAAATGGAGAAATCATGGCAGATGGGTTAGACAGAGAGAGTGAGAAAGGAGAGAGAGAGAGAGGGAGAGAGGAGAGGTAAATAATGTCTAACTAGTTTTAAAAAAACAGAGGGAACCATATTAGTCCAACAACCTACTGACAAATTACACATACATTATTGCTATATGAATTCATGTGCATAGCTAAAGGCTACAGAATAAGAAACAGTGCCATACAGGAGAAACCTTCCTTTGAGTTGTTGGCCAGGGTGGTCCAAGAGACTCGTAAAATTAATCAAGCTATTGCCACAGCCCTTGATGGCCCCCAGAACTTGAAGGTAAGACCCTACTGCAAAAGACAAAACATACTTCAGACACAGGATTTGGAGCAATAGAGCTGCAACTGACCTGCCCTTTAAGGCGAGCTCTCACAGCTTTGGAGAACACAATGAAGGTGCCAAGGGAAAACATCAGTGGATGATCCAACACCAGCTTCAAGACCAAATAACCACATCAATGACCAGCACAGCATCATTGGTGCAGTAGTGGCACTCTTATCTTGGGGGCAATCAACAGCTACCTAATTTGACTAAATACCCACTCAAAGGGAGGAAACTCAAGAGTGGTAATGTAAACATAACCTAATACACATGGCTGGAGTGGCCATAGATCTTAGAAAAACCCCAAGACTATCACATTGCTCGACTAATGTGATTTCTTATTATGTGCAAAATATATATCCTTATATTTACAGACAAATATCCCAGTCACCACTCATCAAAGAGGCTCATTTTGTACCAGTCAGAGACTATTACTAAGCACCACAACTGGTCACACACAGACATTGTCTATGAATTGCCCAGGCCTGAGTGACACATCTACAATGCAACCTCTACACCTAAGGCTCATGGAACATAGAACAGAGATAATGAAGAGGACACTAATGAATCTCTCAGTTCTCAATAATGAAGTTCCCTCATGCAGTGGAGGGCCAGAAACACAAAAGGTAACAAATAGCCAGTGTAGAGATCAAGAGTCTGCTGAATGATGATCCTTGGACAGGATCCCTTTATTAAACTTCACCCACCCAAGGCTCAGGGACCACCTTGGAAGAGGGGGCAGAAAAGTTGTAAGAGCCAGGGATGGGGTGCAGCATCATATGGAAACAGGGTCCTACAAGTTCCTGGGAACCTGCTCATATGATTCTATGGCAATGGTGTCAGCATATACAAATCCCATGCAAACTCAGGCAGACAATAACCCAGCATAGAACTGGGAAAATGAACAGCAGACCTTAATCTTATCTGAAGGAATGTTGGCAACTGATTCCTGTTAGATGAAGAAGAGCTGATCTTCCTAGAACAAAACCTCTGGGACATGTTGAAAGCAGTCCTTAGAGGGAACTACCTACATTAAAAAATCAGAAAGAACAAAAATAAATGACAACATTGCAACTCAAGACACTTGAAAAGCAGCAACAAATGAAACCCAAACCCAGCAGACAATAAGAAATAACAAAAATCAGAGAAGAAATTAATGAAATAGAAACAAAGAAAACAATACAAAGAATCTGGAACTTGTTATTGAATATGTTAAAGCTGTAAAGGAATGCTTCTTCTAATCATGTGGTTATTAAATAAATTAAAAAAAAGAAAAACTACTTTGGTTTGCCTTATGTATTTGAAATATGTATGAGTCATGATTGGGTAAAGTTGTCCTACATTGTACTAAATTTCTTTTAATAATCACAAAATACTTATGTCATTTCAACATTTTTGTTTATTTTTATTTTATTAATTTTTAAAAAATATTTTGGTTCTTTAAGATTAGCTTTCATGTGTTCCAGGCTGTTCTTGCACTCACCTTATAGCTAAGGATGACCTTGAACTCCTGATCCAGGACTTCTACCTCCCAAGTCCATCACAATGTGCATCACAATGCCTGACTTTTGAAGTTTTTATAGTGTATAGAAGTCCTTGAAGCCACTGAATGGCATTTCCACAGTTCTAACTTTTAAGTCTATGAAGTCAAATTTCCTCAATAGAATAAATAAATAAAATCTTTAAACAATGTTCTGGAAGAAGGAAAGGAGCTACCCAGGGGGTCTCAAGGGGCACCAACCAGGGAGAAGGATGTATGAGAACAGAGTATGGCATATATATATGAAATGCCACAGTGAACACTTGCTAACCTCAACAACCATAAAGAAAGCAATGTGGTGCCAGTTTTATACATGTGAGATTAACAAATGCAAAATCTGTCTCAAGAGCTCTGTAGCTGCAAGGGAGGCACAGACAAAAAATGCATGTACACACATAATAGGATGCTTTGGGCTACTTCATATTTCTGCCATCTCTGAGAATCTTAGGTTGCTTTTAGCTTTTTTCTGACCTTTATTAGGAAAATTATTAAATATGTATTCTGTTCTCTAGTTATAAGCAAAATTTTCCACATTTAGAATCCACAATGATTTGAAAAAGAAAGCATCAGCTATTGTAGAAACTCCTTGTCTTTACTGTTTTAATGTAGACTAACATCTAACAGTGGAAAAATTTACTGTTTTTTTTTTTCTGTTCAGAGGCATGGAATAAAATGCACAAAATTTGAAAAACATTTAAGACAAGAACAATTAGCATAGGACAGAAATTGTTGAAATAATTCTACAGTGGCAGCAAAAAATGTACAGTCTTTTTCTTATTTAACTCTCCCAAAGTAGAAATTATGTAATCTGTAAAGAGTTTTAGGTCGTTACATTTGATATTCATTTTTATTTTCATGTCTAGAAAGCCTTTCTGTGTGATAGCCACAGTGTTATTGTTTAGTTGGTTTATAAGTTTATTATTATGGTTTATAAGTTTATTATTATTTATGAGTTTAAATAAAACTCACTGAGCTGTGACCAAAATTTGTGTCCCAGTGAGTCTTGATGGGAATTCAGGGAAGACACTCGGCATGCTAAACATAGCTGCACGAAGGATTTAAATGAGGAGACTACAGAAGCTTTATAGCCTGCAGAGGCTGGGGAACCTCTGGCTCCCACCCCGTCTCTCACAGAAGTCACAGGTATTGTGCATATAACTGGTTCAGCTCTGTTACACAAGAAGTTCCAGAGACCACTTCACAAGCTAGTTTGTGGAAAAGACTTGAAATCCTTTTCCAGGGTAGGTATGATCAGCAGTGACAGCCAGAGTTGCCCACACAGCTGGTGAGGCTTGGCCCTGCCTTCTAGGACAACATCACTCTTTCCTAGTTCTCCCCGTGAGCGCCCAAACTCAGGACAGAACAAAAGGCATGACAAAGAGTCAGTTGCTAATCTTATTTGTTATTAAAGCACCAGAGGCATACAGAAATGTACAACAAAACAACTCACTGTAATCATCAGCTTCAAAAAAACCTTCCCATTGACTAAATTCACATTACCCAACCACAAATACAAGTGTAAAAAAGGACACACACATATATTTTAGAAAAACCTTTAATATATTGCTTTGAACAATCCTATGAAACTTAAATATAAGTGTTAATATATTTTCAATTAGCTCATTTCATTGTTACATTCTTCACTTGAGTTTCAAAGGTTCTAGAATTGTTGGAGATGCCTAAAAGCCTAAGAAAATTTCACCAAGTTCTAGCTGGTTGTAAAACTTGTTCCATTTCTATTAAAAAGAAATCTGTTCAGCATTTGGAGAAGACTTACTACCTAGCAATGGTCTTTCATCCATTCTTGCATGTTGGAAATTCAGGTCAGTTGATTTCAACATTTATTGAGCACCTACTATGTACCAGGCACTGCACTAAATGCTGGAGACAAAAAGATGAGAATGATATGGTCTCTGTCCCAAAGGAACTTATGGTCTCTTGGAGGTCGACAGATAGTGCAAAGATAAAATGACAAAGATGTCAGTAACATTAACATAGGACTTTTAAATATAATGACATGTCATTGCTTGTAATGTTGAGGCAGGCCGATGGCTGAAATGATTTTCATATGATGGAAAACATTATGATCTAGCCTTTAAAGAGTCACATGATAAAAGTAGCTCATCCTAGAATTTTACATCATAGTTTTTCAAGTATTTCATACTTAGGAATATTATTGCCCACATCTGTGCTGTAGTCAGAGCTTGACTGCTGACTGCTGCCTCATTCACACCTTAGCATGTTGGGGTTCAGTTTCTCACTGAGTTTATGAATTAGGATGGCTAATTCCTCTGTAGCTTGGCTCTTGTCCTCCAAAAGTTCGTAGCGAAGGCTGGATATATCTTGTTTGATTTCTTTTAATTCACCTATAGTATGTGTATTAAAAAATACATAATTGGTGATTTGATCTTTATTTTTAGACAAAAAGACAAAGTAAAATTTATATAATCTGGATACATTTATATCACAAAAATCTCCAACATAGCTATTTCAAATTCTCCTTTAAGAAGTTTAAGAAAAATAAGCCTTTAGAAGCACACCAACCTTTGAAAAGGCTCTAAAAAACATTCCAGCTGTGTCTGTAATATAAAACTCAGCTTCAAGCTGCACCCTTTATTGTATGAGATCAAACCCACATCCTTCAGTAGGTCAGGCAAGCATGCTGCCCCTGGGCTATGGCCCAGCCTTTCAGCACAGGGTTAACCAATCTGCAACACTGTTCATAATGTTGAGGCAAACAGTTTAAATACATTTTCATGTGATGAAACAGTAAAATCACACCATCCATTTGCTAGACGCAAGGAATCTTTTTGCTCCCCTTAGGCATAGGTTTGACACCTACATCCATCATCTCCCATTGCGCTACTAAAAATGAACTGATTTAATATGCAAATATACCAAAGTACAATTTACGTCAAATTTGATGAAGGGAAAGGAAGGATTAAAAAGAGGGCTGGCTGTTCATTAGGCTGGGGGATATCATGAACATAGAGCCAAGGAACAAACAGCTGGGTCTGTCTGGCACAAAGAGCCAGGGCATATGGAGGCAAGGCTCAAGGAAGCCAGAGATGTAGCACCCACAGTGTGCAGACTCTAGATTCTCCATGAGAGCATGAGAACTTGTATTTATAATCTTAAAACACAGCTGCTTCTATAATTCACTTGGCAGTACTTTGAGGATATACAGACAGCAATTAGAAATGAGATTGTTCTGGGAGTTATTTAACTATTATGTAGATAAGCCATTGATACTAAAGGTAAACTTAGAGGCAAGACATTCTGAAAATTATTGGTACTTTGACTTCATCTTTTAAAAATAATAGAATGACATGAAAAAATATTTTTGAGGCTACTTCTTTTCTTCTTAGTCCTTTTAGTTGACATACAGTAATTATATATACTTATGGGGAACAGCACAGTGCAACCCATTATCCTGATTGTATCTTTATGGTACCTTAAAATATAGTAAATAATTATGCATATATGATATATAATAATTATAATTATTATTATTGAGACAGGGTCTCATGCAAGCCAGGCTAGCCTCAACCTCAATATATAGCTAAGGCTTGCCTTGAACTGCTAATACTCTTGATTCCAGTGCCCTCCTGAGTACTGGGAATACAGGCAAGTGCTACCATGTCCAGCATATATGTTCTTTTATTAAATAAAAATCAGATGAGCTGGGGTTGTGGCTCAGTGGTAGAGCATGTGCTTAGCATGTGTGGAGCTCCAAGTTCAATCCCTAGCATCACAAAAAACAAGAGACCATGAAAATCCTTTCATTTTAAAGGACTCTTAACTCTTCCTCAAGAACATACACAAAACATTTACGAACATCTTTTGTGAGAAAAAAAAAGTGCTTCCTTTGGTGTGTAGCAGAACAGAGGAATAAAATGGTTTAATTTGAAACATGAGTCTAGTTTTGGTTTTAGGGTTTTTTTTCATTTTTTTTCTTTTTTGGTTTTGAGGGTCAAACCTGAATCTGTCAGCAGGTGTTCTACCTCTGAGTTATAATGGCCTGGCTAAGGTGCAGCCACACAATGCACACCTTCTTTCCCAACCCTTCTTTTTTTGTTCTTGAATCTGGTGGTGACCACACAGTGCTATATCTGCTCCACCAAAGCTGGTAGTGGAGTATTCAACCTTCAGACTTCGGTTCCTCAGTAAAGAGGAACTTTCTATCTAATACAGTTATAAGCTGTTTGCTCAACTTTTTCATTAAGAACTTTATTCCAAGAGCTGGAGAAATGGCTTAGTGGTTAAGAGCACTGGCTGTTCTTGCAGAGGACCTGGGTTCAATTCCCAGTACCACATGATGGCAAACAACTGTTCTAATGCCAGTTCTAGGAGATCTGACACTCTGTTCTGACCTCCACAGGCATTGCATGACATGAGTGCACTTACATACATGCAGACAATATACTCATGCAAATAAAAAAAATTTTAAAAAAATTTTAAAGGAACTTCATCCCAAAGTCAATTCTCACCAACTCTTTTTTGGGCAAGGGTTCAAATGCTACTCATTTTTGACATTATTGTGGCTGTATAATTTCTCTGTATTTCAAGAGAAGTTGTGGATTTCTGCTTTTTACACTACAACTCTATTCCAATCATGTCTCCCTGAGACTGTTTCTAGGCCACCTTAATTGGATTTTTTCTGGTTCTTCATCACATATTCATAGATTTCTTTTTTTTTTTAACAAACACTGGATTGACACAAATCTAGAAGGGATTCAGTGTGTTCATCAGGCAATGGCTTCAAAACTCATTCATCAGCAGTTTTGTTAAGCTTAACCTTTCGCTTACAGGATACACAAAGGGAGTGGCAACTTGTTTGTGTTGGAAAGGCATTTCCATATCATTTTTAATTGTGTGTGTGTGTGTGTGTGTGTGTGTGTGTATGTGAGAGAGAGAGAGAGAGAGAGATCCCCTGTAATAGCCCTAGATTTTTTTATTTCTTACTCTAGATCTGTACTTTGTTGCTACCCTCTAGCCTTTATTTATTTACTTAATTTATTTGGGGGCTTAAAAAGTTTTTTTTTTAAGATACTGTTTTGATAGGTAGTTCTGGTTGGCTTAGTGTTCACTGTTTAACTCAGAGGGCCTTGAACTTGCAGCAGTCCTCTTGCCTCAGCCTCCCATGTCATTACGTTAGTTATGAAGAAAGATGTTTCCCAACTGGAGATGCTTACCTTCATTAACTTCATCATTTTCTTTGTCTACTTGGGCTTTCAAAACATACCGCTTTATAAGTCTTTTCATTATCTGCTGTTGGGCAAAAAGAAATAATTAAGTCACCATTGGTACACAGGAGAGCCCTCTATCTACTTTGTAAGGAGTCTATAAAGCAAATGACACCGGGAGTAGAACTTTATATTACTGTTTATAAAAAATTACCCATGCTGTGTAATTTAACCCTTTTGCTTTCTTCTGAAATTTATTGCACTACATAATCTATGTACATATTCTTTTTTTTCACTTATTTTTATTTTTTTGAGACAGAGTCTCCCTGTAGCCCCAGCTGGCCTGGAAATTACTATGTACACCAGGCTGGGTTTGATTTCTGTGAGATCTACCTGCCTCTGCCTCCAGAGTGCTGGGATTAAAGGTGCACCACCATGCCCAGCTTTCTTTTCTTTTTCTATTTTTTTAATCTCAGGAATGAAAGAAGATTTTTTAAAAAGTTAGGTTGGGCTGGGCATGGTGGCGCACACCTTTAATCCCAGCACTTGGGAGGCAGAGGCAGGCGGATCTCTGTGAGTTCAAGGCCAGCCTGGTCTACATAGTGAGTTCTAGGACAGCTGGGGCTACAGGGAGGCCCTGTCTTAAAAAGACCAAAAAGAAAAAGTTAGGTTGGAAGATTTCCATGAATGGTTTATCCTGTAATTAATGGTATCTTTTAAGGTACTTGCACATTGTGTTATCTCTGTAGACATACCCTCCAAATTTTATGTATATATTATATAGTTATTGTACATATTACAATTAATGTTTCATGGATTTCATATAATCTGTTGTATTGCATGTTTTTCCTCACAGTAATACATGTCGTGGATGCTTCTCCAGCCCACATAAGTGCTTTTATAGAAAATTGTTTACCAATAGGGAAAAAACTAAATTTGGATAACAACCTTATACCACAGACAAAAAATTAATTCCAATTGACATTACATGTGAAAGGCAACACATTTGACTTCTTAAAAAAGCATAGGATAACTTACTTCATACTATATTAAAAAAAAATAAGATTAAGGCCAGGCATGGTGGTACACATCTTTAATCCCATCACTTGGGAGGCAGAGGCAGGTGGATCTCTGGGAGGCCAGCCTGGTCTATATAGCAAGTCCTAGCTGGGACTACAGGGAGATGATGTCTCAAAAAAAACAAAAAACAAACAAAAAAGATTAAAATTTTTAATTACTATAAAATTGATAACTTCAACTTTATTATGATTTAGAACTTCTTCTTATAAAAATAGCATAAAAAAAGAAGAAAGGGGGGCTAAATACGATCTCTGGGAGGCCAGCCTGGTCTATATAGCAAGTCCTAGCTGGGACTACAGGGAGATGATGTCTCAAAAAAAACAAAAAACAAACAAAAAAGATTAAAATTTTTAATTACTATAAAATTGATAACTTCAACTTTATTATGATTTAGAACTTCTTCTTATAAAAATAGCATAAAAAAAGAAGAAAGGGGGGCTAAATACCATTACCACGAGGAAATATACCAATCTCTACACCTGACAAGTAATTTGGAATCAAATACAATAATTTTAATGCAGATTAAAATAATCAAAAAGTTTTAAAGGGAAAAATGGAAACATAAATAGTAATAAGCTTATGGAACATTCTCAAAGTCTTTTCTTGAGGACATATATATTTTGACGAAAGTCAGACACATTTTTACACTTAATAAAGAGAATTAACAATACATAAATCTAGTATGACAACTGTTGGAAATGATATGGACCAATGGGATGTTTATACTTTTCTGGCATGAGACAAATAGACAAGCCACTTTGAAAACAATTTGGTATTATTTTCTAAAGCTCAACATTGATGGAAATTTCACTCCTTGAAGAGTCCAAAAGCAGCACATGTAACCAAAAGACATGACAACAGACATGACAACATGTTTAGAAGCACGATATTGAATGAAAATTTCCAGTTGCAAAAGACTTCTGCAGTATGAAACTGTTCTTATAAGTTCAATAACAAGAAAATCTATAATATATATTTTAGAAATGTTCATATATGTAATAAACCTATGTCTGAAAAGGAAACAAAAGCGGATCAGAACCCAAACTTTAGGATTGCAATGGCCTCTTAGGTGGGGGCAGAGTTGTGGAGTAGGGAGACACCAGCTGGAGGCAAGGGGCTGGTATGCTATCACTTGGGTGGCTTTCAGGTTCATAATTTGCTTATTTAGTGTGTGCTACACATATTCTTGCACATGTATTAAATATCATAGGAATATTATACAGGACTATACAGGAATGCTGGGGAAAGGCTTGAGCGAAAAGGCAGTCACAGTGAGAATGGAAAATACACCCCAATTTTAAGGTAGTAGAAATTGTGAGCCTAAGTGATCTGTTAGATGTTAAAGCAGATAAAAAGGAAGAATCTATGATAATCCAAAGTATCAGAGGACAACAAGAGCTTGAGAACCGATACTATTGAAAAAGAAAAGCCCATTTCACCAGTCAAAGTCAAAGGTAAAAGCTGTTCAAGTTATGTAGACTCTAGACTCAGGACAAACACAATTGGGCAGATCTTAAGTTCACTATATTCACCAAATATTTATTGAGAGCCAAATACCGCCCCCCCACATCATAATTAAAAAATTTTAAGCCAGGCTTGGTGGCACATACTTTTAATCCTAGCACTCAGGAGGCAGAAGCAGGCAGATCTCTGAGATGGAGACCAGTATGGTCTACATAGTGAGTTCCAGGCCAGCTGGGGCTTCAGAGAGATCTGTCTCAAAAAAGAAAAGAAAAGAAAAGAAAAACAAACCTTAAAAACAGAGAGAAGATCAGTGGAAAAGTGGAAAAGATCATTTAACAAGAAGTGCTGAGACAGTGGACTATTCTTATAGGGAAGTTAAAATCAGATCCTGCAGCATACCATATTTAAAAAAAAAAGAGGCAAGTAGATTGAAGACATAAATGTGTGAATTAAAACTTTCAGGGAAATATTCCTGACACACTAAAGGATACCAATGAAATGCAAGCTTTGGTCAAATGAGACTTTTCCAGTTGTTAATGATAAACTTCAAACTAGTTACGAAGTGCACCAATTACCTTACAGTTGAAGACCAAGTTTTCATTAGACTCTGGAACCAGACCACTTTCTCCAAGAGCTCACTAAGACTTAGAGAGCAATACTGAGTTTACTGCCCACTCCCTTCATAATCACAAGGAAGAGGCCTGAGATATAAGAGATTCCAGGCCTTACAGATTTCTTTATTCTCTCCTTGTTCCATGTAAAAGGGAAGGAGTTTTCCTACCCTCTCTCCAGAAGTTGAGGGAAGTGGGGAATCCAAGGCTCATGAAAACTAGGGTTGCCTAAGATAAAGGGAGCCTGGTGCCCTATTCCTTACTGCATATCTACTCCTGTGGACTTGCAGGTCTGCTCCAGATGATTAAGTCGGAGAGAAAAAAGACCTGAGAGGTAGGAAGGAACAGGCATGAACCTACCTGTGCTTCCCTTATCTGACAGACATCTAATTCCACTGGGTTGGGTGAAGATAGTCGTATAAATTAGTGGGTAGTTTTTTTTTTGAGTCTAACTATGTAGCCCTGACTGGCCTGGAACTACTATGTTGACCATGCTAGCCTTGAACTCAGAGATACACCTGCCTCTACCTCCCAAAGTGCTGGGATTAAAGGTGTGCACCATCATGATCCTTAGATCTTATTCTCTTTCTTTCTTTCTTTCTTTCTTTCTTTCTTTCTTTCTTTCTTTCTTTCTTTCTTTCTTTCTCTCTCTCTCTCTTTCTTTCTTTCTTCTTTCTTTCTTTCCTTTCTCTCTTTCTCTTTTTCTTCCTCTCTTTCTTTCTTTCTTTCTTTCTTCTTTCTTTCCTTTCTCTCTTTCTCTTTTTCTTCCTCTCTTTCTTTCTTTCTTTCTTTCTTTCTTTCTTTCTTTCTTTCTTTCTTTCTTTCCTTTCTCTCTTTTTTTGGTCTTTTTAAGACAAGGTCTCCTTGTAGCCCCAGCCCTAGAACTCATTATGTAGACCAAGCTGTCCTCGATTTCACAGAGATCCACCTGCCTCCACCCCCAGAGTGCTGGGATTAAAGGTGTGTGCCACCATATCCAGTTTATGATCTTGTTCTTTAAAGACCTTAAAAATTGTACCAGAAAGCCCTCAGATATGATACACACTTTCTAAAAAGCAGCAAGATACAAAATTAGTGAATTTTGGAAATGTGAGTAATGAACTTATTGGAAAGGAAATCAGGGAGAAATTCCATTCACAATAGCTTCAAGAAACAAAATAGGAATAAACCTAGCCAAAGAGGCGAAAACTAAAGAAGACACCAGCTGATAGAAAGATCTCACGATGTTTATAGATCAATAGAATTAGTAGTGTGAAAATGAGTACATTACTGAAAGCAATCTACAAATTCAATGCCATCCCCATCAAATTCCAATAACATAATTCACAGAAATAGAAAAAATAATCCTAAAATTCATGAAAAAACAAAGATTTTGAATAGTCAAGGTAATCCTGAGCAGAAGAGCAATGCTTGAAGTTTCATAGTACCTGCTCTCAAACTATACTACAGAGCCACAGTAACAAAAAATAGCATGGTTCTGGCATAAAAACAGACACAAAGACCAATGAAATGTAATATAGGACCCATAAATAAACCCATATGGCTATAGCCACCTAATCGTTGATAAAAAAAAAAGTCTAAAACACACAATGGCAGCCTCTTTGGGGGATAGAGATATGGCTCAATGGTTAAGAACACTTGTTGTTCTTCTGGTAGATCCAGGTTCAGTTCCCAGCACCCACATGAAAACTCACAACTGCCTGCATGCAGGTGGTGCACACACACACTCAGGCACACATACGTACACATAAAATAAACTAACCAAACAAGTCTTTTTAAAGAGACAGCTTCTTCAGCAAATGGTGAAGAAGCTGTCTCTTTAAAAAGATGAGTGAAGGGTCTGTAGAGATGGCTCAGTGGATAAGAGCACTGACTGCACTTGCAGAGGACCTGGGTTTGATTCCCAGCACTCACATGATGGCTACAAACT